ATCAGTAAATCACAAATATTTGTTAGATGTATATATATATATAAATCAATATATATATATTTGTAAAACCAATCGACGACAGTTCTTTTTTTCGTTACTTATTAGAATTTCAAGACTATCAGTAAATCACAGATATTTGTTATGCATATATATATATATAAATATATATATATATTTGTAAAACCAATCGACGACATTACTTTTTTTCGTTAATTATTAGAATTTCAAGACTATCAGTAAATCACAGATATTTGTTAGATATATATATATATATTTGTAAAACCAATCGACGACATTACTTTTTTCGTAAATTATTAGAATTTTTAAACTATCGGTCAATCAAAGATATTTGCTAGATAGATAGCTAGCTAAATAGATAGATGGATTAATATATTTGCTATAGCAATCGACTACATACTTTTTTAGTAAATTAATAGAATTTCAAGACTATCAGTAAATCAGAGATATTTGCCTGATGGATAAATAGATAGATATATACATACATAGATACATACATACATACATGCATACATACATACATAAATACATGCATAGATAGATAGATGGGTAGATAGATAGATACAATGATAGATAGATAGATAGATAAATATATATATATATATATATTTGTAATACCAATTGACGACATTAATTTTTCAGTAAGTTAATAGAATTTCAAGAGTATCAGTGCCCTTAGTTCACAGAGCAGGTGTGAACTTCAAGGAATGTCAGACATTTTTCATATCACCTTAACCGAAATGGGGTGAGCACAATTCATACATCTGATTTACTGGTAGTCTCGAAATGCTACTCTTTACGAAAAAAACTAATCTCGTCAATTGCAATAGCAAATTCCAGTTCTCTTTATCAACAATCCCCACAGAGAATGTGAACTGAAAAAATGCCTGTGATCTCTTGAAATTCACATCTGACTTGTGGTTAACTTGTCTAGCCTACCGGCTGGACAGTCACAGTTCGACTCCCGCTTGTGGTGTCGTCGGAACTGCAGTCTCCTCTTCAGCCGGGATGAGAAGAGCTCTCTTGGGCACACCAGTCTATGCGACATCCGATGGAAACGTCAGCTCTGCTCGTGTGATTTCGGTGGCAGATTTATCTTTTGTGTTCTAGTCCGGTGCGTGGGAGGAAAGACGGTACTCACCTGATCATGTCCCTTTTTTTCTGAATTTTCATGATATAACACGTGGCTCCGATGCACGCGCCGATCAGGGCGCAGGTCAAGCTGATCACGACTGCCACCGAAAGCGTTAGTTGGCGCCACAACTGGCAAAATGGGAGAGAAATGAGTAAAGCTTCATGTACTCCATGCAGCATCCACAAGGTTTCAACACAATGCATGCATAAACTAGGAAAGTAGAAAGAAGCACATGTTTTGCTGTTCCATGTGCATTGACAAAAAAAACATTAGTGATAGTGTTGCCATGGCAAAGGATGGGTGTGAAAATTGATGTTTGTGTTTATTTTCTAAAATACCAAGTCTTCATGAGATGTCATTGTTGACGAAACTTACATTTTGTATGAAGAAGAGATTCAAAGACCGATGCAACAGTAAAAGATACAGCAAAAGAAATCGCATAATTGTATGTTGTAAAACTACTTACAAACTCTTTTTACAATTTATGAAAATCCAACGAAGAAAGCTTATACTCGCATAACATAGAAATGCAAAAATAGAATAAAAGCAATTGCTTCAAAAACAATAAAACATTTCAATATCCCAAAAACAAACCATTAATCCCATTTCAAAGATTGTCATGCTGCTATGAGGAATTAATTTTCGAATTAAGTATTGTTTTTCGTGACTACCAGTAAATCAGTTATAAGATGTATTCACCCAATTTCGT